TATTTTTTTTTATATTCATTATTTATTTTAATTTTAAATAAATAAATAAATAATTATTTAGTTAATTATTTTTATTCTCATTCATATTTACTACTAAACAAAAAGACTTTTTTTAGTACTATTGACTCTATTACAATAGACTAAACAAAAGACTTATTAGCATTCAAAAAAACAAAAAGACTTATTATATGGAAAATGTTTGAGAAAGTATAGAACAGATACTATCTTGTAAAGAATCATGAGTATTAAAAAAAAAACTTATTATACTTACTAGTTTTTTTAAGCGCTTTGCGCGAATGGAATAATTGCCAATGATTATTTTTAAATAAGCATTTCAAAGTATATCAATGCAATATTATATCGGAGATGTTCATGCATAGGTAAATAAATATTGAATTTGTTTATTTAAATCGGTAATTTAAAGTATATAAATGCAAGATAATATATGAGAGATTTATTATATTGTCACTAAAATAAATGTTTGCAACTTTGTAATAACGCTAGTCTAAATACTTAATCTAAAAACGATAGTCTAAATAAATACTACTTTTGGTTTACATTTCTCTAAATCTTCTTAATTCTCTTTTGGGTAGCATTATCATTGTCTTCATTTTCAGTACATGTCTTTTTTATTTATTTATTGGTAGTGTATCATGTGCAATTGGGTTAATGGTGGTAGCATAGATGGATTCGTCGTGCAATGAGATTATGGTGTAGGAAACTTTAGATTTGCCTTGTTGTGTATATGATGGGATCTTAGTTGTACTATTAACTCTTTATCTTACAAGTTACAACCACCTATTGATATTTGGTAGTGATAGTTTTTTCCCTACATGTTTAATGCGATGTGAGATGTGTGTCATAGGTTATCATGTCAAAGTATTGAACAAAATATTAATATTTATTATATTTGTATAAAATAGGTAAATAAATATATATAACATATTTTGTATTATAACTTTGATATTTAATAAATACAAGATAATGTAAAAAGAAAACAATGGACAATATAGTGAATATAATAAATTAATAAATTTGAATGTAATGAATCTTTGAATTGTAGAAAATAAAGATAATATAACTAATGAAATTATATCTCTTTTTAAATTTTTTATAATGAATATTTTTTTAAAAAAAAAAAATAAAGGCATTATAGACATCTAATTCTAAATTAATTAAATACATATGTATTATTTTTTGTTGTAGCTACTAATTTATTTAATTTAATAAGACTAATAAATTGGCGTACATACTTTTCATCAACAATAATGAAATTATTATTTTTTTTTAATTTACATTCATTGTTGAGACAAATTGTTTTAAGAGTTTGTCAACCACAATTGTTACAATTACTGTCAGATGATGATAACAAATAATTCAAAATATATAGTTACAATAGGTATTGTTATAATGATATAGTAAAAATTAACTTACAAATTTCTTTTGAAGTTTTCATGCATTGATAAAATTCTGATGTGTAAACGTGTTCAATTGGAGCCCGTGGGATGTCAACATTGTCAATTCTTTGGAAAATGGTCCTACCGTTTTAGAGTCCATGTGTAATTGTATTTATGATCAACAACTTTATTGTTAGGTTGTGCAGGTCTGAAAATGATGTAAGAAAAAAAATAATAGTATAATATTTGTAAAGTAATGTACAATTGTACCACTATAAAAATACATACAAAAAATATTAATACCATAACGACGTAAATCATACCAATAATGCAAAAATATAATTGAAATATTAAGTTTTGTTCGGATCTAAATAATCAAAAGAAGATTAATTAAACAAAAAAAAAACCTAAAATTTTTTTAATGCATAAAAATCTAATGATTTTTAAAGTTCTTGATTTATAATCATTGATGCTTAACTTTGAATATTATGTATTTAGTCGGACTAATTATTTGACCAAAGTTTATGTTAAATTTTATATTATATATTTTTTAATACATTTTACATATTCATAGTATATGTTTAACAATTATTTCAACTCCAATTGTGATGGGATTTGACCTAAGACCTTTCTTATAGAAATTAATGAGTAAGTTAAAAATAATAAATAGTTAACGAAATATTCCGTTACTAAAGTTTATACTAACGGAATTTAGGTTATTTAATGGAAGAAAATAATATAATAGAGGGTAAATAAGAAAAATCCCACAATTGTTACAATTACTGTCAGATGATGATAATAAATAATTCAAAATATATAGTTACAATAGGTATTGTTATAATTATATAGTAAAAATTAACTTACAAATTTCTTTTGAAGTTTTCATGCATTGATAAAATTCTGATGTGTAAACGTGTTCAATTGGAGCCCGTGGGATGTCAACATTGTCAATTCTTTGGAAAATGGTCCTACCGTTTTAGAGTCCATGTGTAATTGTATTTATGATCAACAACTTTATTGTTAGGTTGTGCAGGTTTGAAAATGATGTAAGAAAAAAAATAATAGTATAATATTTGTAAAGTAATGTACAATTGTACCACTATAAAAATACATACAAAAAATATTAATACCATAACGACGTAAATCATACCAATAATGCAAAAATATAATTGAAATATTAAGTTTTGTTCGGATCTAAATAATCAAAAGAAGATTAATTAAACGAAAAAAAAACCTAAAATTTTTTTAATGCATAAAAATCTAATGATTTTTAAAGTTCTTGATTTATAATCTTTGATGCTTAACTTTGAATGTTATGTATTTAGTCGGACTAATTATTTGACCAAAGTTTATGTTAAATTTTATATTATATATTTTTTAATACATTTTACATATTCATAGTATATGTTTAACAATTATTTCAACTCCAATTGTGATGGGATTTGACCTAAGACCTTTCTTATAGAAATTAATGAGTAAGTTAAAAATAATAAATAGTTAACGAAATATTCCGTTACTAAAGTTTATACTAACGGAATTTAGGTTATTTAAGGGAAGAAAATAATATAATAGAGGGTAAATAAGAAAAATCATTAAAAATACTTAAATCAAAATAATATGAACCATTCATTTTAAGAAACAAACTACCGACATTTTTTTGTTCCAGTTAAGGGCCTAACATTATTGGCTCTTATTAGAATTGTAGATAGATAGATTGTAGATGTAGAAATCCATTATAATTGTTAAATATTTAATTCCAATTACAATTCTTATTCCTATGTTTCACCCAAACACCCCTTAATATTAATAATATGAGTTAATACCTCCAATGGTCCTCCGAGTATTAGCGACTTACCAGCTATGGTCATCCGAGTTTTAAATGACCTCTAATGGTCCTCCATGTTTTAAAAAATAACCACTCGTGGTCCTAATCCTTAAAAAAATTCGAGTTTAATATGACCACAAGACGTACTAAAAGGACCACGGGTGATTATTTTTTAAAACATGGAGGACCATTGGAGGTCATTTAAAACTCAGATGACCACAACTGGTAAATCGCTAATACTCAAAAGACCATTGGAGGTATTAACTCTTAATAATATTACTTTGCATTAATTTTAGTTTGGGAAGAATTTTTTGTTTTGTTTTTTAATACTAGTGACTCTATTATAATGTAGTATCTGTGCATAACCACTTTCTCAACCAAATGAAGCACAAACAGCCAATATTGCCTCCACTGAGACTCGAACCCACAACCTCCCCTATAAGATTATCCTTATCCCAAAAAATTTCTCACTTTCTAAAATGGGTCCCACTTCCACATCATCAATTTTACATATAATAAAATAATATTAAAAAAAATAATAAAAATAAAAAGACATCAAAAGCTGTGCAGGCTGTCCTTTTCGGCAACTTTTGCAGCTTTCTCTCTCATTAGCAAATTCTCTCTTATTTCTAATTTAGCAATCTTTCTCCCATTTCAATACACATCAGCATAAAAAAAAAACCTTAAAAAATGTATTCTCTCTCTTTCATGTCATTTAAAAAGGAGTAAAATTTCTGGGAAGGGAGCAGTTTGGGAAGAATATTACTCCGCATTATACTTATGGGGAAATTAAAGTAGGTGAGTGCATAATTTATGGGAAGGTAGTAGATGATTAGGTGGGGAAGGAGAAGTGATTGGGTTCCCATCGGAAACTTCTCCCACGTTCTTAGGGCATCCTCAATAGTGGTAGGATTTTGAGGAGATATTGTAGGTGTGATTAGGAAAGAGAAATGGGTGAAAAAGAAAAAAGGAAAAATAAAATCAAAAACTTAAAAAAAAAAAAAAAAAAAAAAAAAAAAAAAAAAAAAAAAAACCTAAACCCCCTAAAACCCTTACAAAACCCCCTAAATAACATAACAACTCAATCCCTCCCTCTCCTCTATCCTCTCTCCTCCAACACATCATTTTTTTCTTAAAATTTGTGCAAAATCCCCCTATTGGGGATGGCCTTATACTCTCATACACAAAACGTGGTTGTATCAATTTCCAAAAAAACTAGATAGAAATACAATTTCCGTACTTAAATGATCATAAATTTAGAATGTGTTTAGTTCATGAGTTTACACATCAGAAATGATAATCAAAATTATAGCTAGTCTTTGGTTCACAAATTTTTAGAACACAATTATGGAATTCGATTATCCTTCAATTAAAAATCACATCCCCTAATTAAAAATGGGTATCATTCTATCTTATTGGTAATTTGATTTTTAAGTTTGGATTAGTGATTTTAGATTTTTGTTTTGATTTTTTTTTTTGTTCATATTGGTGCTTTGGATGTCATTATATTAGGATCAATTGCCTTATTATTATTATTATTATTATTATTATTATTATTATTATTATTATTATTATTATTATTATTATTATTATTATTATTATTGTTATTGTTATTGTTATTGTTATTGTTATTGTTATTGTTATTGTTATTGTTATTGTTATTGTTATTGTTATTATTATTATTATTATTATTATTATTATTATTATTATTATTATTTAATCCAAAGGAGGGGAGCTACCCATATATTTATAAAAGCTAGTATTGTACAGAAGGTTGCTTACAAGCTGGAAAAGCGCCAAACGGCGAAGGAATTACAATCGTAATATAAGAAAGGGATAATATCAACTGGAGGGTGGGAAAGGACAGGGACTCCACGGGGACGTGAAATTGCCATTCTAGCGAGGGCATCTGCTGTGCCGTTCTGCTCTCGAGGCACCCAAGCTATTCGCCAATCTCTGATGCCTTGCAGTTCACGTCTACAGGTTGCCAAGAAGTTGCACACAAAGGAATTTGCCAGTGAATTTGTGGTGATACCATCAACTATAGCTTTGGAGTCACTTTCGAAAATAACCTGATGGAGGTCGAGCGATTTAGCAAGTTCAATCTCCCTTAGGACTGCCCAAACCTCAGCCATTAGCGGGTGATAACGACCAATATTGCTAGTGAAACCTCCAATCCATTCGCCAGAGCTGTCTCTTGCCACGCCTCCGCAACCTGCCATGGAGTTCTGCGGGTGCATGCTGCCATCTACATTAATCTTGATATAGTTCTCCTGGGGTTTGGACCAGGTTAGTTGTTTCCAGGCTGCTGCGTTAGAGGAACCAACCGGATGGGAGGCTCTGGCAAAGGCCGTGGTGATTTCCTTATGTTGTGTGAGGATCCAAGAGATTTTAGAGTTTAGGGAGATTTCTTGATTGTTGAAGATGGCTTCGTTTCTCCATCTCCCAATCCACCAAACGGAGGTTGCAAAGAGATTAGCAGAAATGGAAGGTGACCTGCCACCATTACTGTCCGTGAGACCTTGGGTAAGCCATTCAGCAAAAGGGAGGGAGTTGCGTGACGGGGCAAGCTCAGGTAGAATATTCTCCCACACTGCCTGAGCCTTCGGGCATTTTCTCAAAACGTGCTCGATGTCCTCAGCCTCATTAGGGCAAGCCCAACATCTGTCGTTCGAAGTGAAGCCTTTTCGTGCTCTAACAGTGTTTGTCATGGCTCTGTTGTGTTTGGCTAACCAAAGGAAAATTCTGATGCGGCTTGGCAGTTTAAGCTTCCATATTTTTCCCCAAGTCGGGTCGTTTGTAACGTTTGGGGTTTCCGTGATGATGTTGTAGGCTGATGAAACAGATAACAAACCCGAGGTTTCACCACTCCAGATAATCTGATCCTGCATGTGATCGTCTGGGCAAATGAGTATGGCAGCCATGGCGTCTGTAATGGCAGAAGGGAGGAAGTCTTCAAAGTCATCCCACTTCCAGCCGTCAATGTTCGACCAATAATCCGACACTTTGAGTTGGGAAATTGAGTCTGGGATTTGGGGTGAAGCTACATCACGAAGCGATCGGTCACCTATCCAAATATCCTGCCAAAAGAGTGTACCTTTGCCATTGCGTACGAGGTGTTTGGAGCCTGCTAGAATAGCTGGGACGCTCTTAAGAATGCATTTCCAAGCATTTAACATATTCTGTTTTGGGCGCCATTGTGAAGGATTGGAGATGGGTACAGCGTACTTGGTTCTGAACACTCTAGCAAAGAAGGAATCCTCTTCAGTCATTAGCCTCCATCCTAATTTTGCAAGGAATGAGATGTTCATTTCCTCCAATCTACGGATGCCGAGGCCTCCAAAGTCTTTGTTGCTTGTCACCGTATACCAATTGACTAAATTACACTTTCTCTCCCCCTCCTTTGCACCCCAAAGGAAGCTGCGGATTAGACGTTCCATTGATGAGATCACGCCTTTTGGAATAAGGGTAGTCTGCATGGTATAGAAGGGGATCGTAGAGAGAACTGATTGGACGAGCACATGTCTTCCGGCTAGCGAGAGGGATTTGGATTTCCAGCCAGCTAAACAGTTGCGCATTTTGTCGATCATGCCTGCAAAGGAATCCTTCTTAAGTCGGCCGTGAATAGAGGGAACGCCTAAGTATTTTCCCATGTCGTCTACTCTGGGGATGCCGGTCCTTTGGAGCACAGCTTGCTGCACAGTCGAATGGGAATTAGTGGAAAAAAATAGATGACTTGAGGATATTAATGCGTTCACCAGAAGATTTGTAGAACAAGTCAAGGCATTTCATCATAGTATCAGCTTGTGCGATCGAGGCTTCGCCGAATAGGACCATGTCATCCGCAAATAGAAGATGAGAGATGAGTGGGCCTTGTCTAGACAGTTTGACTCCTTTCCATTGACCTGCAACCACAGTTTGTTCGATTAGGTGGCTTAATCTTTCCATACAGAAAACAAAAAGAAGGGGGGAAATGGGGTCTCCCTGTCAAATGTCGCGGCCAGGATTGAACCAGTCTGAGAGTTCTCCATCCCAGTTTATTGAGAACCAAGGCGAGTGAACGCATGCAAGGATGTTCCTTCTCCAAGCCTCGTTAAATCCTATGTCCTCCAATGTATCTTGGATGAAGTCCCATGATAGGCGGTCATAAGCTTTTTCTAAGTCAATCTTCCATATCATCCATCCAACAGTTCCTTTTTTTTTTTACTTAATTGAGCTCAAAACCTCTTGATAGACAAGGATGTTATCAGTTATTTGTCTACCGGGTACGAAGCTGGTTTGGTATTGGCCGACTAGTTTCTGCAAGATGTCTTTCAATCTTGAGGTCATAGCCTTGGTAAGGACTTTGTATGTCACATTACAGAAGCCTATTGGACGAAGTTGTCTCACTGTTTCCGGATTTGAGGTTTTGGGAATTAAGGTAATAACTGTGTCATTACTTCCTTCCGTGAGGATGCCATTTTCAAAGAACTCTTTAGCATAAGCGATGATGGAGTCTCCTACTGTCTGCCAAGCTTGCTGGTAGGAACCGGCACTAAAGCCATCGGGGCCGGGGGCTTTGCAGGGGGACATGTCGAAGAGGGCCTGCTTAATTTCCTCTAGGGAGAATGTCTTGTTGACCTCGCGCCAAACATCTTCATGTATGATGGGATAGCGCCCTCGAGGTAAGGTAGCAGAGTGCGATTGATCCGTGGTGAAAAGATCTCCAAAATAGCGGCGGATGTGATCACGTAACGCAGTCTCGTCAGTGATCCAAATTCCCGAGTCGTCTCTGAGCCTCTTAACCTTTAGGGAACTGTTTTTTACGGAGGTAGCCACATGATAGAAATGTGTGTTGCGGTCTCCGGAAACTATCCATTCCTCTCTAGATCTCTGGAACCAAAGGAGCTCTTCTTGATGGAGTATCTCTTCTAATTCCTTACGGAGATTGCGATCGAGTTTAAGCAACTCAGGTCTGCAATTATCGGCCAGTCTGCGTTGGACACCACCTAGTCAGGCCAAGGCTTTTTTCTTCCTTTGAAAGATGTTACCAAAGACATCTTTGTTCCAGGTTGTGAGGGCTTGGGCCATGAGAGTTTTGTTCCGGTCAAGGCTAATCTCCTTGTTCCAAGACTAGTGAACTGATGTGTAGCAAAAATAAGATGTGAGCTAGGGTGTGTTATGTCGTCCTCAGGGGATTGGGGGATATGGCACGCAATATGCAATCACAATGAACTAGACACTAGCATAAGGAAATCAACAAGAAGCTAAGCAAACTTCAAGTTTAAGGAAATGATAATACTAACACATATACACAAAGATAAACACAAAATAAAGAAATAGGACTCAAGCTAGGGAGCATTATCATCAAGATGCTTTAACAACCTAAGGGATTAGGGAGAACAACTGAACAAGTAACCAAGGAATCAAGCGGGAATGCACGTAGGTATCCTAGTCTACGAACCATTCTCATGATTAATAAACAAGGATTAGAACAAGGAATTGCCCCACTTTCATGGTGAATCAATTCCAAGTACATTAAGCACACATAGCATCTAAAGCCCCCAATTTCCCCTATTTTCGTAGGAAGAAATCGGGTCTATGCAAGGGGTGGCTTGGATTCATCACCCAACTCTTGTTGAGGCAAGGAATCCTCCAAAAACAAGCTAATGAATGTGTACATCAAACATTAACTAGATATAAATACAAAACCTTCACAAACACATGAACCCTAGGTTGGAATTCTTCCCCTTTTTTGCAATAATCACAAATCAAACATCAAGATAGATAATACAACCCTAACTCAAGCCCATAAACTAACTACTCATGATTAAATAGCATAAAGAACACAAAAGCATAAGTGTAAAGCATAAACATTGCAAGATAAAGAGATAAAAGGAAGGAAAACTTCTCTAAAGAAATTGGATGGTAGAATCTTGAAATGTTGGAATCCAAGTGTTGAATCCTTGATTATAAGCTTGAAATATGAAAAAGAACCTAAATCTACCCCTAATCTAACACTAAAATATGAAAGGAAAGAGTAGAAAATAGTTAGGGTTCGAATGGGGTTCAAAACCAAGTAGAAATGAGTGAAAACTCAGCTAAAAAGGAGCAGAGGCGGGGGGCTCGACGCGTCGAGTGCTTCTCTGCAACGCAACTCCGACTTGTAGGCTGATTTTGACCACTTTATGCTCAGAATTAGGCTTCGATGTCTTCATAAAAGTTGTATCTCTTCGAGCCTTCTTTTAAATGGCGCAAGAATCACTTAATTTGGACAATCCTAGGCCGAGATATGATCAAATTACCAAACAGTGGCCAGTTTCGGGTGAAATCTGTAAGTTCGGAACTTCAACTTCAAGGATGATTTTGACCACTGTGGCTTCCTTTTTAGGCTTTGATGTCTGAATATGAGTTGTAGTCCTTTGAGTCTTCTTTGCAATGGGACAATAATCATGTACATTGGATGTTTTAAGCTTGAGATATGGTCCAAAAACCATGACGTCGATGTGCAGGTCGGGAATTGCAATTGCATGGTCGCTTGCTTCTCTTTTGCTTTGGTTTGCCCACATGACCAAGACCATTGAAAGAACCACCCTAGACTCCTTTGGAAGTGTTGCATCCATCTCCATAGCTTCATATTTGGCTCTCATTGACTCCAATTTCATCCAAAATACCTCAAAAGCATACAATTGCCTGCACTCTACAATTTATGCATCAAAAGGTATAAACAAAGGAATTAAGGCACTTCTTTGCATAAAATCAAAGTGTTTGTCACTCAAAATATGTCTATACAAGGGGTAAAAATATGGACATAAATGCACTTATCATGAACAAAGGGCTGGAACAGCTGGTGGGAAGACCATGCCATGTTAAATCTGAAGGGCCTCAGCCTGGGGAACGAAGGCGACGATGAAGTCTTTATTAGTATGGGGGAATGGTCTGAGCTTAGCATGGGCAGATGTTCAACTAGTGAGTCTGCAAATGCAGTCTTCCAGTCCACACTACATAGTCCACGGTCAAGCCTTGCACCTTTAAAGGTTTGTTGATTAAGTCCTCTCATCCACGTGAATTTGGCGCCTGAGAAACCCAGATCCACGAGGCCCTCATTGAAAATCCAATCGGTAAAATCTGCACAGCGAGTGTTTTGCCAATTATCAGGGTTACTAGTTTCGTCGGGACTACATACAGAGTTGAAGTCGCCTGCAACTAGCCAAGGGCCTCGAATGTTCATATTGAGTCTTGTTAATTCGTTGAAGAGCTTTCTTCTCAGGGTTATGTTTGGGATACCATATACGGCAGCAAAAGACCATTGTGGAGAGTAAGCTTCGTGCACCTGCATCAGTACAAATTGGGGATGAGTGTAGCAAATATCCAAAGAGCAGTTATTGTTCCAGAATATCCATATTCCACCCGAGAAGCCCACTACCTCGATCCTAAGCCAATCATTAAATCCAAAGTTTGAGCATATGGAGTTCGCTTGGAAACCTGAAACTTTAGGCTCAAAAAGGCACAAAATCGACGGGGAAAAAACCTGAATTAGATATTTAAGAGAGCGGTGGAAGGATTGGGACACCGCTCCTTGATAATTCCAAGTGATAATATTCATGAATAAATACAGAAGGGAGAGAGGGCGCTCAGGAGCGCATAGAATGGTCACCATTAGAGGCGTTCAAAGTAGAACCATTTACAGGGTCACCTGAGTCGAGCATAGCCGCATCTGGTGGATCAGGACCTTGAGTTGGATCCGGAGGCTTCTCTGGAGGAATTGGGTTCTCCAAATCTGCCAACATGGGATCGTCAGAGTGGTGTACCACCGTTGTGGCTATAGCCTTGCCCTTGTCATAGCCGCGGACTACGATATGTTCCTGTTCTGCCGCCGCATGCCTAGGGGTGCCCCCTCTGCTACCAGAGCTCCTAATGGAACTGGCTAGAGGTTGCCTTAGGGGTCTCAAATTAGGGAGAGACTCACTAAGTGGATGCCCTGCGGCTGGAGGGAAATAGGGTGCCTGGATTTGTACACTAGTGCCCTCGACTTGAGGCTGAATGGTCGGGGCAGCACTGGATGTTGAAGCCATTTGATAAGCCAACTCTGGATCTATCTCCTCGTTACCAAGGTTGGCAAGTGGTGTAAATTGAGAATGGTTTCGGGAGTTGGTTTGTTGAACTGTGTTGTCTTTAGGGAATCCCTGGGGTTGGTCCGCCGTAGCATTGTTAGCACGGGTGGGACGCTAATCAGGTTTCTTGGGACCTCTTCGATTTCTACGCGTCGCAATCATCCATGGACCATACTTATCTGTTAAAATTGGCCTTTTCTCTGGTTCCAATAGGGGAGCTGCTTGATCATCTTTTTGGGCTGTATTGTTCGAAGCGTTATCGGAGGATGGGGCTGGGTTGGTGGATTTACCGCATTGGTCGAGGCGATGGCCATATAGTCCACAACCAAAACAGACAAGGTGCATACCTTCGTACTCAACTGGATGCACTTTGTCTTCCAACGAAAACTTTGCGCGCAGTGGTCTTGAAACATCAACCTCTACGCAGATTCGTGCGAAGTTGCCTTTTGACACGAGACTAGTTGTAGGGTCGACTTTGACCGGCCGCCCTATTTTCTGAGCTATCTTTTTCAGGATTTCCTCATCATAGTGCTCAACTGAGATAGATGGATGACGGACCCATACCAGGAGTTTCTCAGGTTTGTCTTCCTGGGGATCAAAATTGGGTTTCCATTCCTGTACGAAGAGGTAGTGATCGAAAATTACCCATGGTCCCTCGAATTTGGCGAATTCGTAGTTGCGAAGCGTTTCGAATTTTGCGATGAAGTAGTCGTGGTTTAGAGATATAAGATCCATCGGACCCTCCGGTTTCCACATCGATCTAAGGCGTTGGAGTAGATACGCATAACCAATTCTTCTGCCAAGTAGTTGAATGATGAGGGATCGCCGCCAGGGGCGTCTGATCCACTCCTTCTCTTCCGCGGATATCACCACTACTGGGCAGTCGACGTCTGTATCGTCGTCGGCCTTGTCGTCCTCTGGTGCTACAGTAAATGTCGTCGCCGGTGCCCTGGTTCTCTGCGCCCAAGGACCTGTCGCAGTGGGCGTGAAGGTCGAGGGCGGAGTTTCCCAAGACTCTGTTTCTTGAAGGTTAGGGGTCGCTTGTCCCGGCGGGGGTAGCTCCACGCGTGGTGAACTCGAAGCAGCTAGCGATGGTGATGAGAAGTCGAGAACGAAAGCGTCACGTTTGGTTTTTTTGGTGCTGCGGCAAGGGGGATCTTGGTCCTCCGGCGGTCGGTGGGTAGTTGACGACGAATGGAGAGCGGAGAGAGGGTCCATCTCTAGAGAGAGAAAAAACTAGCATTATTACATGAAATTAAAGCTTCAATACATGATATTAGTTTTGTTGATAAAGTAAAAAAAAAATGGTTATACCACAATAATACTAGGACCAAAAGTGGATGTTTTAATAAAAAAGGACTTAAAACCGATTGTCAAGCCATCTATAAATCTATGACAAAAAATAGAATTAACTCTAGTTTTAACTGCAAAAAAGCTCCGCACTTCTCGCATGCACTCCGTTCACGATCTCTGACGGAAATCGTCTCCGATCGTGCTCTCCGAACGTGGATCTCTCTCCTAGTCGTGCCTAGGGGAGTTTCTCCCTAGTGTATCTAGGGCTCTGTTTAAATGGCGTTGTGGGTTAGACATCTGCATGATAAACGATCGATCAGCGATAGCTACGTTGTGCGATCTGTGATTTATTTTATCCTTTGGTTGTGTTTTGTGTACTGTGATTCGGGCATGATGGATGCGCGATCGACCCCATCTATTGGTTTGATCGAAGATAAGTGGGCGGATCTCTCTCTGGCTGATGAAGAGACTGGTGGTCTGCCAGCGCCGGACACCCAGGTTGTTGATGCGGGTACATCACAATGGGAATTGGTCGGACGCTTCCTCACCGATCGGCCAATCAAATTTGAGCATATGCAGCAAGTATTGGCGTCTGTTTGGAGGCCAGTTATGGGCATGCATGTCGACCTTCTGGATGAAAATCTGTTTCTCTTTCACTTTCCACATCCGAAAGACATGCGCCATGTTCTCGACGACGGTCCGTGGTCGTACGAGAATAATTTGTTGGTTTGCGCGCAGATCAAGCCGGGGATGAGGTCGGAGGAAGTGGAGCTGAACACTATCCCCTTCTGGGTCCAGGTTCACGGGTTACCGGCGATCTACGCTTCGCAGGAGTTTGTCGCAAAGATCGGGGATCATGTGGGCAAGTTTGTGGCGTTGGATCCCAACAATTTTGGAGGCACATGGCGAAGCTTCATTAGGATTCGTGTCTTGCTGGACGTGAATCTCCCGCTTAAACGAAGGATGAAACTGATTCGCAGGGATGGAACGATCCAATGGATCACGTTCAGGTATGAAAGATTGACTCTGTTTTGCTTCTGTTGTGGAATTTTGGGACATACAGAGAAGTTCTGTAAGAAGGTTTACGAGGAGGGAATAGAGCCGGAGGCTTTTCCGTTTGGTGCATGGTTGAAGGCAGGGTCGCGTCGGCAGGTCAAGCCGGTGGGCGCACGGTGGCTATTACCGTCGAGAACCAAGGCGGCGGTTGTGCCAACTAGGGGTATCTCACCATCTGTGGCTCTGGCAGTGGTGGATGAGGGGAGTGGTTTGCAGGGGGAGTTAAAGAGGCGGAGGGAGGGGGAAGCGGAGGTCGGGGAGGAGATGGGGAGGGATGTGGTGATGGAGGAGCATGCAAGAACATTCACAATGGCGGGACTGGAGACTCAGTCCTGCCCGTCTCAATGAGTGTTTTAAGCTGGAACTGCCGGGGTTTGGGTGGCACCCGGACAGTTCGCAAGCTTATGGGCATGGTAGCCCATACGCGACCCAGTTTTATTTTTTTGATTGAAACTTTAATTTGTCGGTTACAAGTAAGATTGAGAGTCTGAGAGTACAGTTGGGTTTTGAGGGGATGTTGAGCGTTGATCGGGTGGGTAGAGGTGGGGGATTGGCGTTGCTATGGCGGGATTCTGACATGACGAATCTGTTGAGTCTCTCCGAACACCACATTGATGTGGAGGTGACTTTACCGGATAAACCAATGTGGAGGCTCACGTGCTTTTACGGAAATTCAGATCAGTCAAAATGGCATGAGAATTGGGATTTGTTGCGGCAGTTGCGGGATCAATCAGATCTTCCTTGGATAGTCATTGGCGATTTTAATGACATCTTATGCCAATCTGAGAAGCGCGGTCCACATTTGCAGTCAGAAGCCTTGATCGATGGTTTTAGTTCAGCGCTAAACGAATGTTCTTTGGTTGACTTGGGGATGTTGGGCTCACGTTTCACATGGGAACGCGGGCGGGGGACTAGCAGCTGGGTCGAAGAGAGGTTAGACAGAGCAGTTGCATCAATCGAGTGGATGGATTTGTATGATGGGGTGGAAGTTCATAATCTCCTCACGTTCGAGTCGGATCACAATGCCATCTTTTTGGATCTTGATCCTCGACCGATAGGGCAATCTGCAAAGGCCTTCAGATTCGAGTCAGCATGGCTTTTGGAGGAGGGGTGTGGTAAGGTAGTCGATATGGCGTGGAGGCAGTCCGTTGGTTCTGATTTCCAGCAACGTCTAACATTGTGCGCGCATCAGTTGAGTCGCTGGGGAGGGGAGTACAGACGTAAGTTCGGCAGGCGCATCACTATGCTTCGTCGAAAATTAGAACTGCTCCGTGAGAGTAGGGTCCAAGCCGATGTTCACTATTATTTGGAGGCTGAACAAGAACTAAATTCACTCATGGATCAGGAAGAGCTTTTTTGGAAACAGCGTTCCAAACAGCTGTGGCTTAAACATGGGGACTCCAATACCAAGTACTTCCACAGAATGGCCTCCTTCAGGAAACGGCGGAATACGTTGTCAAGATTGAAGGATGAACATGGAGTGTGGCAGGAAGGCACAAATTTGAATACCGAGGTGCTCAGGTATTACAATTTCATTTTTCAATCTGAGTCTACTGAGACCCATTTGTTAGATCGAGTTCATCCACGAATCTCCGAGGAGATGAACGTGACCTTGCAGCAGCCTTTCACGGTGGCCAATGTTAAGGCTGCTCTTTTTTCCATGGCCCCAGAGAAAGCCCCGGGACCAGATGGAATGACGCCTGCTTTCTTCAGCATTTCTGGCTAGTGTTAGGCCACGATCTCTCCATGTTCGTTTTAAAGTGTATTGATGCAGGCTCTTTCCCTGCGGGGCTAAATGAGTCTAACATCGTTTTAATCCCGAAGAAGAAAGTTCCATAAAAGGTAACCGATCTTAGGCCAATTGCACTGTGCAATGTGGCTTATAAAGTCATTGCGAAAGTTTTGGCAAACAGACTTAAAGGAGTGTTGGACACAGTGGTATCCCAGTCTTAGAGCGCCTTTGTTCCTAACAGATTACTTACGGATAATATCATTATTGCCGGGGAGGTGGGACATTTTCTACGGCGAAAGATGAAGGGAGTGATGGGTTGGGCGGCCTTGAAGCTTGATATGGCCAAAGCGTACGATCGGATGGAATGGAACTATTTGAAAGGGATGCTGAATGCACTCGGTTTTAATCAGA